CCCCCCCAAAAAAAAACATAAAAAAACAGAAGGCATTTATAGCTATAGGTGAAAATAGAGAATAGAACATTGTAATATATATGAAAATCAATTAATCCCATTGTTTATGCATCATTCTTAAAAAAAGTATATGAACTTTTAGGTACACTTCAGAATGTACCGGAAATGCAATATGATCAAGTCTGGTCTAGTCTAAATATTATTCTAGTTCCACGAGTTCATCTGTGCTATCATCTGTATAACTTTCTCGCATCTGTTTTAGCTCTGTTTTAGCTCTTAAGGCTTTTCTAGCTCTCAGAATATCCACAAGTGCCTCTGCTGCTTTTGGATCATCAAAAGCATCTATTGTAAGCAAATATTCAATAGCTGCAATGTGAAATCTGGGTAAAAGCCTCATTTTACCAAGTTTTTTTGTACTTAACTTGTGTGCACTTTGCTGTCAAAGTCTATCGCCATGCTTTCGGTTAACAAAAGCTGCACTGGTACAGTTTRTACATCATYGAAGTATGGATTCATTGACAAAARATACGCTCAATTTGCTCACAAATGCACTCACCATTCGTGGTATAGCCACACTAAGATGTCGAGCATTTTCGAAAAGGTCATTAGAAGAGATACCGCGAATTTACGTGAAACTTCCTATCGTGAAACTTCATCGCAAGCTAGCTATCTATTCGAAAAGGAATTAGTATATTTCATCTTATACAGACTCTATGGCCACAAAGAACTCAACGAATGTCAACAAATAGTAAGTTCTAAAGACGAAAAAACGAGGATAGTAAGTACTTTAAGTGAAGAAAATACAAGACAAGCGACATGTGTTTACAGTCAAAGAGAGACGGTGAATGCGAGTCCTGTTTTGGGTTTGGTTGGGTTACCTGTGGCGTTCAAATAATTTTCTAGTTGGGGGGGGGGGGTCTGAAAATAAATCTGGCTTGAAAGGGGGGCAATGAAACAAATTTTGTTTTGAAAAGAGGGGCTCTCTATTTTTTTTGGGCAACGTCGTAAAATCTTCCTCCCCCCCCCTCAGAGTATTTAATGAACATTCCCTTACTTAAATAATATTTCTTCCAATGTGTACAGTGATAATGCCTGCAAATGAACCAATTTTTCATTCAATTTAGAAACTTTACAAAAGGGAAATCAAACCTCCATTCAAGCCAGCTGCAGGAAGAGCTGACGATGCATTTTATTTTGACCCAGAATTCACATCAAAGACCCCACAAGGTACATGAAGTTCATCTCTACATTTAGCTCATTTTGTTTCTAGTATTTTATTGTCTGTTTTGTATTATGATCTTATTGCACTTCTTAAACATGAAATTGATATTAATATCAAATATAACTTTGTAGAAATGAGCTATCTACATGTAGTCTTCATATATGGTCATGGTAGCACATACTGGTATGCTCACAAAAGTAGAATATAGTATAAAGTTCAATTTTTGTTATGCTTTTTCAGACTCACCAGCAATCCCTCCAAGTGCAACATGTCATCAGTTATTTAGAGGATTCAGTTAYGTGGCTCCTGCTTTGGCTGATGTAAGTTGTGGATGTGTATTTATGCATGAAAGAGTTGGGCTGCCTGTGTTTACCCAGATTGTTTCTTGAGCTATAAGGCATACATGATATCAATATGATATTTGAAGGAATGAATGGGATTTAATRGATAGATGGATGAATAGATAAAAAAATGAATGAATGAACATTACAAGCAAACCTTGTTGAGACCTCCCACTTAAAGACATCCTTCTGTTACACATGCAGTTGTCTAAGTTTTGCAATTACAGTCAACTCGCGCTATTACAGACACCCTTGAGACCATAATTTAGTGTCCACAGTAGCAAGAGTCCGTACTAAGGAGAGTCACTTTCAGGCATTTCTTTGTTTTGTTTTGTTTTTTTTTCTCGCTGGGGATTTAGTATTTTGTGTCCGTAATAGCGGGGTGTCCATAAGGCAAGAGAAGACTGTATTCAGTTCCCCTACTGCAAAAAAATTATTTTCAATCTACCAGTTGTATTTGTTTTGCTAATTGAAGTGAATTACTAAATGGTTCAAATTTTTTCAACTGTAGGAAGATGAAACAACACAGCAAAAAGCAGAAAAAATGGATGTAGAAATGAATAAGGTAAAGCAACTGAATTGAATCTTTGAAAGTTRTAAATTGAACACATTTTAATCCCAACCAGTCATTATGTTATTCCCATTCATCTGTTTATTTATCTAATTTTTTCATTCACAGCCAAGGTCACATCACTTCCCAGTACGAACAACGTCCATCCTTGAAGAATATGACATTAAACAGGAAGTTGGAAGAGGTTCMTATTCRGTGTGTCGGCGATGTATTAACAARGCTGACGGCCAAGAATATGCAGTTAAAGTAAGATTACACACAGAATGGAAAAATTTCAGACTATTTGAATTGACTGTTGTGTAAACAGATAAATTTWAAACTGCCAAAAAATAGGTGAAACAACTTTACTCTGACACAGGAATAACRTCCAAATGTCAGTAAGTTGTTTGACCTRTTTTTTTACAGTGAAKTGAATTTATCTTTTTACACAACTATTTCTTTAGAAACACTGGCTTAGCTCATACTAATTTACTGCTAGTTTCTACCATTTTGACTATTAAATTGACAATTTTCTGAATTATTATTTTATTGAACTATGGCATCCTTCCAAAGCAGGTTTTGTAAAAGGAATTTTTCCTGCATTGGGGRATATGCCAAATAGCTATTGCAGTATAGTTGCTTGATATCTTTATTTTCTTTCATCCAGATAATTGATAAAACAAAGAAAGACCCCAGCGAAGAGATGGAGGTKGGTATTTTTATCCCTGTAAATTATTACTTTTAAATTATATATATGATATCAAAGAGGCAAGATTTTGCTGTAACTCCGAGTTTCGTGCTACACACTCATCAGACAGTATTCAAAATCTTGTCTCTTTGATATCATATATATAACTAGCTCTACACTTTATGTGTATTGAGCACTCTTTAATGGGATCAGCCACTTCCTCATACAACTTTCAAATTATATTTAATATTCTTGTTATATTTGTGTTATTTGCAGATTCTTTTACGGTTTGGTCATCATTCAACAATAATACACCTCCGAGATGTAAGCATACATACTAATCTCCTTCATGGTTACACTGAATATTTTAGAAAACTGTTGTAATAAACGTGCAGCTGTCAGCATTGATTCTCATGACGCATAGCATTAATTTAGTTACTGAACGATGTATTTTTTTTCACAGGTTTACGATGACGGCAAGTGTGTATTCATGGTCATGGAGCTAATGCGTGGAGGTGAACTACTTGACAGAATACTCAARCACAAGTGTCTATCTGAAAGAGAAGCAGCAAATATCATGTACACTCTAGCATCAACCATTGCCTTCTTACATGAAGARGGGGTATGTATAATTTGAAAACTGCTGTTATTATTAGCCCTACAGATCAACAATTTTAATGTGATTATGATTAAAATCTGCCCATTCTACTTTTCAGGTTGTCCATCGCGATCTCAAACCCAGTAATATAATGTATGCAGACAACAGTGGCACACCRGAATCATTACGAATAGTAGACTTTGGTTTTGCAAAGCAGATGCGTGCAACAAATGGACTTCTTATGACACCTTGTTACACTGCTAACTTTGTGGCCCCYGAGGTACTWAAAAARCAAGGMTATGATGCAGCSTGTGATATATGGAGCCTTGGGGTACTTCTGTACACAATGCTTTCTGGGTAAGAAAATTATTCATGAACCACACCTCCTGTATCAGTATTCAATGTTTTCTGAGATAAATGATTATAGTGCAGCCATCCTAACTCTAGACTAACTTCATGGAGCTRTGATTAATTGACTTTATATTATGATACTTTTGTTTGTTTAGACTGACACCATTTGCTGTCGGACCAGAGGATCAACCTTCAACTATCTTAGCACGTATTGGTGAAGGGACATATTCACTGGCTGGTGGGCCCTGGGACCAAGCTTCAGACTTGTCCAAGGTAGTTATTGTCATACTTTCATAACCAGACTACCCTAAATGACTGGCTTAATTAAAGTATAATAAAAACTTAGGGAAAAAAAGCAAATTTATTTTAAATTCCTTTTTTAGGATCTTGTCAGACAAATGTTACATGTCAATCCAAGGCTTCGATTAACAGCAAAGCAGGTTTGTTCAACAAATTACTATTTGCAAATTCTGATTTCATGGAGAATTTAATTGACGTCAGTGAAAATGAATACAAAGATGAAACCATTTGGCCTAAGTGGTCTTTACTCTTTAAACATTATTTCTTTCTGATAACTTTTTCCATTGTCTGGTTATTTAAGGTATTGCAGCATCCATGGGTTGTTAGTCGACACCATCTATCCAATGACAGATTACATCATGTTAGCAGTGTATCAAAGATCAAGGTAAGAATCTAACCTTCCTCTTGTGACGTCATGTTTTTTGGCGAAGTGCATCATGGTATTGATAAACTAAAAACATGGCGGGTGTTATGTAAAAACTATGGAGGGAAAGTTTTTTGGCGAAAAAAAACATAAATTAGATAACTACGCACAAGAATTTGCGGAAATTCCTTTCTGTAAAAATGAGTAATGATTGTTTTATCGATATTATGTTGATTTTTATTTTATTTTTTCCAGGACGCAGTTAAAGCAACGTTCTCAGCACTTCACTCATCCCCAGACCACAATCGTCGCCTTAAACCCGTTCAAACATCTCTGCTTGCACAAAGACGTACAAAGAAGGGCCAAAGAGCATAAATACACAAGTTTCCCTACCGGGCTTCCTGTGTCTACAATTCTACATCAAAGTACATGTATCTCTAATACGATTTCAGGTTTAGAGCTCTCATTGTAAGATATTGTGCATTAAGAATTCCCTAACGAAGTCATTTTGAATACACCGACTTACAAAAGGTTGAGACAGATAAAGAGAAACGTATAGTGTTTATTAACAAATTATTGGTGACTAATCCATTGACCATTGATGACATAGAACTATTGTAATGCAACAATGTTATTGGTCACGAAAGCCAGTTGTCACCAATTATWTATTAATAATATACAAATTCTTTAATCTACGAAAGTGTTTTTTCAGTTTTCTTTGACATACTTCTGCAAAAGGTGTATTCCATCTTATAAAATATACGTATAGAGGGTTGGGTTTTTCAGAAATATTTGATAATAATTAATGCGTGTTKGTGATAGGGGGCGTGGGGGAGTCTTAGTCTTGATTAATCGAGTTCACTTGCATTACAACTTATGTGAAGAAATTCACGAATTTAGTTGTCGGTGCACACTTCTTTAATGCTCGAACTGTGCCTCCTTCAAACAGTGCACAATTTCATTAGTATAGTTTAACTGACAATCSAAACATGTATAAGCAATGCTTTGGCTCGTGAATTTCTTCACATTTCTTTAATAGTGAAATTCAGGTAAAATCGTAATGTTTGTGATGTCAGTCCAATAACKTATTATAAATGCCTTTGCCGTAACGTCATCAGTCAATAATTTTCTACAAATCTTTTCWGCAAAAATATTTTTCTATGTCAATATATACAGACTTTGATACTTTCATTGTTATATAATTCTTTTTCATGTTTTCGGTTCTTTCTTTTCAAATACTGTTAAGGTTCTTTGTAAATTTGTGCTTTTATTCTGAGGAATTGAAAGGAAAATCGAGAGTTYATTTGAAAGAGCAATCTAGTTAAAATCTAGAGAACAAATGCCATTTTTATTGCAGTAGTTTCGTAGTAGTTTGGGAACTAGTCAAAATGACCCAGGATTTCTCTCTATGGGTTTGAGGCGAATAGCGTGGGTAAGAGTAAAACAGTTTAGTCTTTGGGGAAAAGCACATATGTAAATGCAAAAGAAACTTTAAATTAATAATTCAATTGAATTGAATGTATTCTCAGAATCGAGAATTTGTCCAAAGCTTAACCTTCATATAAAAAATACATGAAAACTCCATGCCAAATCTTATCGTTTGCATGCTGAAGTTCTTTTTTTTCTGAAAGTTAAGCTTTGGTGAAATGTACTGTGAATTCTTGTCTATGTGGCTAGTAATCCTTAAGCAGGAGCCTGTATTCATGAGGGCTTGCCACGAAGGCCAAAATTCTAAATATGCGTTGAATATAAAGATTTAATTAACTTAAAATGTGCAATAATGAGGAGCATTCTTTTATACTTGGTTTTGTTATAAATARGTGAAGTTGTTAAGATACGCCGCGCGCGCAAYGGTTTTGGCGGGAAACACTYAAATGGCTTTTTTCCTCAAAGAACCAATCAAAATCGAAGTAGACACGTCACAGCTTTAATGATGAATGACTCAGCATGTCTGTCATGTATAATTCTAAGCATTCAAATGCCTTGATACAATTTTGTACATAATAAAATAAGATTCGTTCAAATTGTCTTTTCACATTTCTTCTCGTTATACAATGCGAAACCCTTCAAAGCGATGCAAGCTCAAAGCGCAAGGTACAAAAGCCGTAAAGATTAAAGACATACACGCAATCATAAGGGAAAGGATAAGATTAGTCCTCTTCCTTGCATTTTTGAATGTGTTATATGCTTATTTATAAAGTATTTGATATATAGCGCGCGCTCTGATTGGCTGACGATCGTGTTTATATATCAGAGGACAAACTAGAGAAGCAAGATATGTCTTGTTACGCTCGTGTTTCTGAGCTTGCTTCTCGTGTTTTTCAACTCCCACGTGTTTATATCAGAGGACAGAGACACACACGCCGTTTTATATTTCTTTAATAGATACTGTGCATATTTTTAACTTGATAAAGTTTACATGATTTCCCTTGTCTTTGCGTCTTCATACTCAGGTTCAGTTAGAGCAAAAAAATGCATTATCCAGACTAAAATACTGCGCAAACGTGTGTAGAAGGATGACGAATGCGTGTGTGTAAAAATCGGAACGAAATCATAATTTCATAGTTGCACTCTTCCTAAATGGTAAATGCACGAAATAATGGATGGAAAACATGCTACTGATAACAACTGGAGAAACTGAGTGMATTTTTCTATAAATCAAATCAAGAAAAATGCAGCATTGCTGAATTAATTAATTTGTATTCCTGGGTAAGAAAACTAATTCTCCAGCAAATTCCGTTCGGGACAGGAAGTAAGAAGTGAAATGATACCCAGCAATTTGGTTTCCCTGTGTTTTGCCCCTGTCCGCCCCTCTATTCAAACTCCAACAGTAAACCTGTCAATCAAAACAGTTTCTATTTCCTTATTCGTTAAATTCAGCGTGTGAAATCGACGACTTTTTCTTTCTGGACGCTGATTGGTTAAATTGTGACTTGACACAACATTGAAATGGTTTTCTGGACAGCTGAGGTCAATCAGTCGTCGGGGCGAAGCTGCTGGAAGAACATCGCAGAGGTTTGTATCCCTTTGAAATGCCGTTAAAATTATAGCGAAAGCTTATTCTGAACTCTTCAATTTGCAGTTTTTAGAATGTTCTTCACCAACTGTCGCTGATGGATACATTGTAGAATGCTTTTAAAGGCAAATTCTATACCGAACTTTAGTTCCAAACAGAGCACATGGTCTACACGAAGGAAAGTTTACATTCTCACGTAAAAAGGTAAGATATGGTACAATAGGTTCGCTTTTTGTATCAAAATATTACTTGTACATATATATTGCTACTTATAAACCYGAAAGAACAACTTTTTGTATTATTTTTCATTCACGAACGCCTATGCTTGCTGACAAACGGCACATTGACGCCTTGCACAAAATTGTACAAACTTCATTGAAAAATGTCTTGCAAATGACTATTAGAGCGCTTTTGGAACATTGAAAATTATCAAATGTTTGAATACTTTTCTTTTCTATCTGMAGAGCTGAATATTTCAAGAAATGAAACGCGACGATTTTGCCCCATTTGGTTTGGGATAAAGTAAAGCTGCGAACGTTTCGGTTGCGGCTTTGCTTGCTGGAATACTTCCCTCCCAAAGGTACGCAAATGTAACAACTTATAAAAGCGAACAAAGTTATGCATTAGTTAACGAATGTTACTATGTATTTAAGTCGTACAAAAACCAATTGCTGGGGGGAAAAAAATTTAATGACTCGACAATATTTTTCCTTATACTTTGGCTCATAAACCGTTCGGAATAAACGAAAAAAAGGAATTGAATATGTTTTAAGTTTTGCTTGATTTGTTTTCCTTGCCGTTTATATTTTGGTTTGTTAAGCGTAATTTGCATTTTGGCGCCAAAGTGTGTATAAATCTTGCTCGCCACGTGCGTTAAGGCGTGTTAAAGGGAATATTGCTTATACATTAAAATTAGAATTTCTAGGCCTTATTTAATGCATTAACAGGCGCGTAGCGTGGACTTGTRCGCACATGTCAGGGACCGCGACACATATTTTGTATCTGGGGGTCTAACGACCGCCAAAGGCTGGAGCATTAAGGGATTCTGGACCTCCCCAAGGAAATATTGAAAAAATAAATCTTGGAAATGCATATAAAAGGATCAATTCTATGTGAATTTTTCAGTCATTTTTGAGAACATTTTGAAATTTTCCTTGCCACTAGTACGCACGTGTGTATAGGCGTAAGAGGACAGTACGCGCCTGATTGAAGTGCAAATTGTAACAATGTTTTCTCGATATCTTGTCCATTATATTCTACACTTGGGAACCTGAAATCTTCCGTTTTTTTTGCGTAAAATTATGGCAATTAGGTGGAAATGGAGCTATTCATTTTTCTTGTATTTTCTCGAAGATTTGTTTTACTCTTGCATGTGTGCTTATTGATAAATTCAATAACTAATAAAAAATTAATAATTCAAAAACAAACAAGTGTTTATTGTATTTTTTTTATTAGGATATCATGTACCTAACTATCAAATACACTTGAGAAACAAGAGCATAGATGAAGAACACAGATGAAGAACAGATGAAGACGTCGAGCATGTTTCGGCATGCAAAGGTTTTGAATTCCTCCATTAAGTAATCTTGAGGAGCTGCATCTACTGCACCTCCATAGTTCAAGGGAAATCAGATGGTCTTAATGTTTCAAGAATGAAACCTTGAGATACTTTTGTCATACAAACTTGGTGCTTGGGATACCATCCATGAAGATTGGTATTGCAACACTTTAGCTCTAGGGTTAGTTTGCAGGCATATCACAAATTATAGGAACTTTTCATCCGCCAAACATAATAAGCTTTCATTCAAGAAGTATACAGCTCTTGGGCATATCACAATTATAGGAACTTTTCATCTGCCAAACATAATAAGCTTTCATTCAAGAAGTATAGCTCTTGGGCATATCACAAATTATAGGAACTTTTCATCCGACAAACATACGCTTTCATCCTAGAAGTATAGCTTGTGGGTATATCACAAATCATAGGAACTTTTTGACTGACAAACATAAGCTTTCATCTAAGAAGTATAGCTCGTGGGCATATCACAAATTATAGAAACTTTTCATCCGACAAACATGAGTTGTCATCCGAGAAGTATAGCCATATATCCATTTCAGATTAGGGTATGACAAAGGAACTTTGGATGGTTCAGAATCTTACATAACATTCTTGAATCAGCCAAAAAGGAAAGAAAATATTCAAATGAATAAATGAAACGGCTTCTTTCTAGCATGTTTAATGTGGATACCATGAGATATCCATGTTGGCATGCATGTATGCAAAGTCAATGGCACATTGCAATGCCACATCTATGCAACTGCATATTTATGGCATAGCTTGTCCCAGTGATTTTGGATACCCTAAAACTGCAGTTATAAATATGACATCCAAATTTGTTCGATTTAGTAGTTCTTCTAGACTTGGGTTTCTTCAGCTGTTGGAGCAATTCAAAGATAATTTAGCTCATAAACTATAGGGTTAGGGATTTTGGTCCGGCTAAAATTACATGAGAGCCTTGCAAGGCAGCAACACTGGGTAGTTTTCTATTAAAATCCATGTGCCCCGCCCTTGGAGCAGTTGGCTTTTAGTTGGGAATCACCTGTGTGGCTGGCATGTATGGACTATGCCGAAATTTTGTAATATTGGTTGGTTTAATATCTGTTGATATTGAACAGATCACAGAAGACAACTAATGAACCCTGCAACTGAACAGGGTTTGTGGTATTGACTAAAATCCATGTGCTCCGCCCTTGGAGCATTTGGCTTTTAGTTAAGAATTGCTTGTGCACTAACATGCATGCACAACTTATTCAAAACTAAATAAAGTTAAAAGTCGATTAGTTTAATATCTGTTGATAATAAGCTAATGAAGAAAAAACATTCAAGAGCCTTGCAAATGAGCAGTGGGGTTACCAATGCTCATGACAGGCATGGAGTACTTCGATAATTAACTAATTAAGAACTAGTTTGGTTTAATATGATAATTCATTATATTAAACTAACAAAGAACATGATCGCAAGTGAGCAGTGTTGGTATTTTTGGTTAAAATCCATGTCCTCCCATGGATTACTTTAACTAATAACATTTTTTCTTGGCATTTCAAAATATTAAAACCATAAACATTTAAACCTTAAATATACACTATCTGCAGAGGTAAGGTCTGTAGGTAGGGTCTCTAAGGCTAAGGTAATTAATTTTTTTCCAACTAATTGGCTTTCGTTTAGGTTTTGGCTTTTAGGTAATATCTTTATATTGATTTTGCCTTCTGTTTTAGTGATTCGGCCTAGGTAATTTTTTTCATTCTCCTTTCATTTGGAATCGATTTAAGTAATTTTTTCATTCGCCTTTTGTTCGCATTCAGTTTAGGTAATTTCTTTCATTTCCCTTTCGTTCGGATTCAGTTTAGGTAATTTCTTTCATTTCCCTTTCGTTCGGATTCGGTTTAGGTAATTTTTTTCATTCGCCTTTTGTTCGGATTCAGTTTAGGTAATTTCTTTCTGTCTGCCTTTCATTCCCATTTGCCTATCATTGACATTTGCTCATGTTTTGGCATATGAAGACACATAGATTCTATTATATGGCTCTTCGAGCGCATAGGGCAGGCATATAAGAACTTATAACAATAGTTAAGTGCATAATTCAATAACTATATTGGATTTCCGTGTAGGACTAGGTGCATAGATTTATTTCCATAGGACTGTTTTTCAATTTCGGTTTTCGAAAAGACGGTTAAGGCAATACATCATACATCACACAAATTACATCATTCTGTGTTTTAGTTGAGTGGGGCCTCCAGCAAACCCCTCAAATACCCTCCCTCCCCTGCCTCTCTCTCGTTCTCTGCACCTCTSTTTGCAACTGCTGGTTTTGTCTCTTTGATTGGAGCAGCAACGTTTCTTCTTCCATCCGCAAATGCAATGCAAAATGTTGGCTACAAATTTGATGCGATGGTCAGAAATAGCTGGAAGTTGGTGGTTACAATTCGAAAATGTTCGCAAACTGTATTGTTTGAATGGGCAGTGGCAGCAATAAAGTGGGTTCTTTTTATTGATTGAATCAGCAACTGGTCTTTTTTTGACAGCAATTTCAATGCAAAATATTGGCTACAAATTCGATGCGATGGTCAGTAACAGCTACATAAATAGCTGGAAGTTGGTGTTTTCAATTCGAAAATGTTCACAAACTGTACTAATGGGCAGTGGCAGCAATGATATCTTTTTTATATTGATTGGAGCAGCAACTGGTCTTTTTCTCTGCAAATTTGATATTTTTATCAATGGTCAGTGGCAGCGATACATTTTTTTTGAATTCTTTATTTCTGGAGAGCAATTCCCTTGAATTGAGTTATGGAATGGCAAATTGGTAATTTTCTGCATGTTTTTGGCTGCAACAACATCCTGGCTATATCTACAAGACTGTTTATCTGAAGATATGGCAACAACAAAATGTCAATTTTTCTATCTTGGGTATGAGGCATCAACTCTTGGAAATGGGGGAGCTTCACTTTGGCTTCGAAGAAGGTGATCAAGTCTTGGAAATAGAGCTTCATTTTGGATATCAACATAATATTATATTTATCTTAAGTTGAAACTTTAATTTGTTGGAGATTGCAACAGCAAGTTCTTTACCTTNGACAAATATCTACATTTGTATCTGGAAGGTCTGTTAACATGTGAACAGGATTTTACAGTCAAGTATCTGGCAGCTGGTAATGTGAATATTGCAGGTGTGGTAACATTTATCTGGTAGGTCTGGTAATGTTGGCAAAGCTCACTTGAGTAAGCCTAGCAGTATTAATGAACTGAGTTCACTTATCAACTGGTGCAAATGGTAATATAACATTATCTTAATGCTATCATAACTTGATGGTTTACTGAACATTTGTCATAAATAAATGTGCTTTGAGTGATCATATCTTTATCATATCTGAATGATTGTTTTAGATGGTTCTTTTCTTACAGGAAGCCAGAATCAGGAGTATAACATTAAAGATGTGAAGATGTGCTGAGAGCTACCTTATTTGTGAACATGAAGATCTTCTATTGTGAACAATATTGAACATTTTTGATTGCTATCGGATTATGGATGAAATCAGACATATCCAGAATACCTGTTTTTTACTATGCATTTTTCCATTTCATTGAATATTTTTGATTTTTTGAATTTTTTTGGTTATTTTGCAACATTATAGGATGTGTAAATTTAATCTGTAAAACAAGAAGGTTTTAAATGTATTGTTATGCAATACCTCTCTTGAGTTTTCTAAGTACTAACACTAACCTTACCAATTAATCACTAATAATTAACTAATACATGGCAATTGTATGACAACCCCATTGTATGTTTTCCCCATTTTTACGGTACTTTATAAGGCAATAATTATTAGCTTATATCATTACTTATTAGTTTACATTATTAGCTAATTAATTTACATTTAGTACTTATTATTAGTTTATATCATTACTTATTAGTTTTGTATTAGCCACTTCATTTATTATCTCCCCGTAGTACTTAAGATAATTATTCCTTCCATGTTGTACAATTGCCAATGTATGCAGCTCAAGCCCAACGGAAGTATTGCATAAGAATTATTAAAACTCCTTGTATCACAGATATGGCACTCTAAAAGTTTAAAATATGGGAGAAGGGAAATTCAGAACTTTACGGTATCTAATTGGACACCCATCTGTTTGATGGGAAATTATCTGTTACATGAATGGTAGCCTCCTCGTGGCGTAGCAGGGAAGGGGTGCAATAACTTTCGGGGTTTAAGTTATCTGTGGTTTAATAGCACCTCTACAAATCACCATTCAAATGTGCCAAGTTATACTTTATAAGGCAATTATTAGCTTATATCATTACTTATTAGTTTACATTATTAGCTAATTAATTTACATTTAGTACTTATTATTAGTTTATATCAATGATTTGAAATGTTGCACTTTTTTCTGGTTTAAGTTTATCGATTAAAAAAAATATTCATTGAAGACTTTTCTTCAGTAATTATACTACTTATTGCAGTTTCATTGCAATACCTCAAAATTTGATATTTGAACATTCAACATTATGAGTAGTATCCAAAAGCCTCAGATTTCTGTCACTCTAAATGTTAGAATTATTATTATTTTATTAGCTTGAGAAGATGCAGCCAAGTGATGACCATGCATTGAAATGTGCTTTACCAGAGCACATGAATTTACCCAAGAAATTCTGACATGAAAAAACGTAGTCCAAGAGCTGGGGACCACCAAAATTAAACAAGGCAACAACAAACCACACAACAGATCTAGTTGGTGTAAAAGAGCATACTTGACACTTACGATGTTGAGAGGACTGGGTGCAATTCCCAGATTGGATAGTGTGTTTAATGTTGGCTATGATAATCCATTTATAAAGGATGTAGACATTTCAGCTTGATAATTAGTTTGAGAAAGTTCATTTTGTCCTCCTTAGGTACAAGAGGTTAGGCTAAAATAATGTGAAGCAGAAAGTTTTAAAGTGCTACTTGCATGAAAATGGCCTTATTTCAAAACTTCAAGCAATACAAATATATGACTCATTTATATCTATTAAAAACAATTGCGGGAAAATATTTGTCTTGGCATTATCCCACATCAGAGAGATTTTGATTCAAAAGATTTCCAAGTCTTTTCTAATGTTTCGCAATTTTCGTCCAAGTAGCCCATTAAAATATGGACTTGAGAAATAAGATTGCTGCACAATACGTACATGACATTCATCACATTCAACACAATAAGCACTCCATAATAACTTAACTGATTTCAAAGATGAGTTAGCGGATTGATAAAGTTTGGAAACTACTCTACCAAAACGTAAGAAATTATAATATACTCACGGACCCTAATTCCAATATCGTTGCTTTACTTTCCAATCATTTATACTCAAACCTCATAAGAAGCATTTATGGTCTTTCCACTTACCAGTTCAATAAATTAATCTAGTTGTTTTCGCAGAGACGCATCATCAGCTAGCAGTGGAACTAACATGGCCAACCACATTGGCCGGTCACGTGACACCCACTCTCAGTGGGTGTTTRGTGTGGATTACCGCTGAATGCAGGCGCTATTTGGTTTTGGAAAATTATAATGTTCGGAGAGCAACATTTTAAATTTGACTTTTTTCAACTTTTCAAAACATTCTGAAAAGCTAATTTTCACACGTTTTTAATGCAATYTGGAAGATTCCCGCCAATTTCATTAGATTCCGATCCGTGTTTGAATGCACGTCCAGAAAAACTTGTTCATCAAAGAAAGAGAAGGAAAAACTAAGTCATTTTTGAGGGTTTGTCAATCCAGTTTAGCAAACTGTGGCCCTAAAAGAAACAGTCTTGACTACCTTTTCGCTTCAAGTGATTGACAACAAGGAGTTAAAGACATGTTAAAGATCAAGAGGAAAAAACAGTAGATTTGTGAACTCTCTTTTTGAATTGTCGAGTAGTAAGTTAACCTTGGTTATGGATTCGTCGAAGACCAAAGCAGCTGTATAAAAACTCAAGAGATATCGACTCAAATCATCGAGATGACTGAAAACAGGAATTTGAATTCGCTTAGGCTGCTGAAGACTGTGTGGCAAATTGTTCAAATTTATAAGGTAACTTTACTTACTGTAAAAGAAAATGTCAATGTTTGTTGAAGAAGTTCAAACATGTCAATTGATCTCTTTTTAGTCCTTTTTCATGGCTTATTTCGCTGATATATCTACAAATCTATCTAGAAAGTCTAGAAAGTTTTAAAACGCCAATTCATCTAAGCTAGAAGGTACTAAACCATAAGATTTTTGAAAGTTTTATTTTTAAAGTTTGAAAAACATTTTGCAAAAATACCGGCTAGGCATCTTGCTGAGTCAATTGTACTTTGAACTCTATCGCGCAAATTTAAAAAGCATGCCAAAATCCTTTTTCCACAACTTATTTTCCCGCCTTGATCTAAGATATTCATCTTTGGTGAGTAATATAAGCTTAATGATAAATAAAAAAATCCGAACATAACATTTCGTGCCCACTACGAGAACGAACGGCGATCAGATGTACAAGGCGATAAAAGTACGCCAAGAATGACATGTAATTTTATTACACTTTATATATATATCATTTACAATAATTTCTAAATGGTGGTTCGTTTGAAATATTGCAAAAAATATTTTGTAATGCTATGCAAAGTCTTTTTCGCTTTCTTTTTGTCTTCAACATGATCAAACGTCTCACGAATATTCACATCTTCACTTCTACTTACTGTAATTAGACCTAGTGCATGGCGCGCGATAGACTACTTCATGTTTTTTCTTTTTGTAGTTTTAGCATCTTGTAGACGCTGAACTCAGGCATTTTAGTTTAAAAATTTCCATCAACTTTACACTTGAATTGTTTCTTCTATTTTTCTGTGTCAAAAGGTCACAACAAATGAGCAACCAATGAAAAGTGAGAAAAATCTTAGCCAATCAAAATCCATATTTGACCGGCCGATGCAGGGCTATCTCTGGGCGCAGAGTAGCCCTGGGAACGAGGTTGTAACATGGCGACCAAATTTGGGCTGCCTGTGGCAATGGCGGGAAAATATACACAGGAAACCCAGATTTAGTTGGAGTTGAATTTATTCCGCATTTTTTCAAAAGATTTAATATATACTGTAACAGGAGTCCCATTACTGACTGTAATAAACAATTGTCGTTCGTGCAGGAATCCTGTACTTTGTATATGTCATCCTAGCCATTTGTTTTGGCCGGAAGGCCAGAATCGTCTGCCCCGGAAACAATAATTGCTATTTCGCAGAGCCGCTTCATCAGCATACGAACTTAAAGTATTCATTCAAAAACGGTTTCAAGCGTTAGATTTACAGTAGACCAACTGTGTAGGGACCAACCATATTATATTACCTGCAGATAAAATGTTTGAATGAAAATATTTTTGAAAGACTGCTCGAAAGTTCCAATACAAGTTCCTATGTCTAATTTCTTCTTTGACGTCATTGTCATTCAAGCATATTATAAATTTGAGACTTCATAACTCAAAGTCTCTACATCGACTATGAAGTAAAAAAATTTATATTGTTAAGTATTTTGCACATAATTGAGAATCATACAGTATGACAGAGATCGCGAGATCGGCTATTTTCAGATTTTTTAATAAGCTTTATATAGCAAAATTGATGACAATAATCTTTCATAGACGTTGTTTTGTTCCAGTAGTTGGTCAGTGTGCGTCAATCAGACTATTGACGATACAGCTCAAAGCACAAGGGAAAATTCCCTTCTATTGAAAACCATCCAACTCTGAAGACTGAAAAATATAAACAATTTTCGACTACAAAAGAGTATTTATTCAAGTAAAATATAAGGTGAAGAGAAGGGGGGTACTGATATCTGAAATTTTGAAAAAGTAGGGGGACTGAGATATGAGAGCATAGAAAATTAGAAAAGAATGAAGTGTGCTGGGCTGTAGCAACCGTCCCCCTCCTCCCTTCTATGAAGTGCTTGTAATTTACAAAACCTCTAACGTTACCCTGCAGAGAAGCTAGAAGTGGGGGTTGTTATTGATATGGAGTAAGCATTGGGCTGTGTCAAAATATATATATAACTACTAATCACAAAGTCATAAGACTACAGTAGCTTCTTGGACCATTCGTCTGCTCAGATTAGGTGGCTGTTCTATTTGGAAAATTGATACAGTGATCGATGTGTGCATTCAAGATATTTATTTAATTCAATATTCTAAGAGAACGCCATAAACAACTGGACAAAACTGAGGCCTTCAAGGCCACTGATTATTACCTCTTTACAAGGTAAAAGAATATTTCCAAATTAATACATTTATTGCGACATTTTCATCAAAAGATATTAGACTTCTAGAATCACAGTTAATGTCATTTCTGGGAACAGGAATCAGACACTGTTTTAAGAAAATTTTTGAAAAACACTGATTAGTTGTTGAAAAGCCAGTGTAAACTGATTTATTACCGTTACTTAAAACTTTTGTATTTTATGTTTTTTTATGCGGATTTAATTTTATCTACCTACAGTTTTTCTGTGTAATATGAACTCGAGTAATAGTAAAAACCGAGAAATATGAGGTACAAATATTCCACATTGATTCAGTCTCGGAACAGTGTTGCTGTTCAAGTTAGAGTCGATGTTACACCTTGACAAAGCACTGCCAACTTAGAGGCCATAACACTAAGGCTCCAAAAAGAAATAATGTACTGAGCTCTACTAGTTGTTTTTTTTTAATATATCTCGTATATCTCGGTCTTTATTAACATATTATTTGGCTCAATTTCTGTAATAGGATAACACACTAAGACTCGTGGAAAAAATCGCGGGCTGACAAAATCGAGTCTGTATGTCAGAGCGCCCCAACGACAGTAATCATGTCAGATAACACTTTAGATTTCTACACCACTTCATAGACTTATAAAAAAGCTCTAAAATAGACAAATATTTTGACAAACATTTGATTTGTGCTTTCAGAAATCATCGCATGACAGAACAGCGATCATCCAATCAGCAATGTCATGGCGACGAAAAGGAATCTAAATGTAAAAGGTTCGTGTTATTTCTTTTAATGATTATATTTTACCTTCTGCTTTAAAATGATTTTCGCATGCTGAAGACTTTAGATGATTTAATGACGTTATGTGAGTTTTTGCGAAGTGCATCATGGTACTGATGAGTCGGATGGCGGATGTCAAAAGACCTCTCTTGTAAATAGTAAGGCTTATTCGTAAAATAGTCTGATAAACCAGAAACACGAGCAAAAAACATTATAGGCTTCTTCAGTACTTTAGTCAATTCCATGGTGCATCTCGCCAATGTCAAAAGGGGAAGGACCGCTGCGTGATTTTGGGTACCGGGATGACAAAGAACAATACAAATCTAACAAATGGCTTTGACCCTGTTTAGATGTGATAGGGTGCCTCTAGAGCCTTTTGTTTTATATCCTACGGAAAAGAAAACCATGAAATGAGTCTAGCCCTACTACCTAGAAAACAAAGAACGAAAACAAATAAATCTATCCCTACTACCTATCCTCCATATAATTTTTGACTATTGTGCAAGTAATTGTACATTATTTTTACCTTATGTTTTATTGCTTTTCTCCTTACGTGTAATTACCAATGTAACATTTTTAGTCCTCTGGCTCTACTTCTTTACAACAATTTTTTCCAGTGCAAATTTGCATATTTTCTTATTCTTATTTATCTTTTCTGTTACAAGCACTTTCTTCTGTCAAGTTAAAAGCAAAAAAGAGCAATAAAACAGTTTCAGTTTCTTAGGGGCAACCTATCTCATATACACAGAGTGTTACTATTGTTTTCTGGGGTGGAAGCTAAGCGGAACCATTAATTTGCTTTCCAACAAATTTCCGTCTTTATGTTTGTGATTTTTCGTGTCGTGATTCATGTTTGCATTAGTCCTACTACATTGTTTCATAATTTCCAAACTTTAAAGGGCCATGGTCAGCTGCATCCTTTACACATATCAAACAATTGTCTAACATTCGCTCGGGTTACCTGTGTTTTTTCGTGGGATCCCTTATTTTCAAGGATGGGAGGGGACTAGAACAAATCATTTTATAATGGCCGACATGTTGAAAATGTTTTAGCCATTTTAAAGCACTAATAATCCAGTCAAACTAAGGATTGTGTCCAAAGTAATTGCAATATAATTTTTTTCACGTGGAAACTATTCATTGAAGTATTCTGAACAACATCACTAAAAATCCCAAAAAATCCCTTCGGTGATCGATCTTGAAATTGAAGATGAAGAGGGCAGGTAGCACAGGGATCCCAACACAATTGAGTGGTACAAAAAAACACATATTTTGTTTCTTTTTCAAGCCATTTTATACATTTCATTGTGTTATTGTTATATTGTGATGAATTGACTATAAAATATAACTGTTTTCTAAAAGAAACAAAATATGTGTTTTTTGTACAAGTATGTTGTTCAGAATACTTCAATCAACAGTTTCCAAGTGGAAAAAATTCTATTGCAATTACTTTGGACTGGAGCCCTTTTTTACGTTGGACTATAAAAAGATGGAAAACTTTGAAAAAACTTTCTAGCGTACTTCCTTATAAGGTAAGATTACTATACCATATATGGTCAGCAAAAGTTTGCCAAACGAATGAATTTTTGAAAGTAAAAATAAATTGAAATGTAAGCAAAAACTTCATATTTAATATCCCTTTATGCTCATAAACGCCAACGGAGATATTGTAAGATTCGATCCACTGAATTAAAACCAACGGAATGAAACGGATTTGGCAAGTATAAATATAAAAAAATGTGGGCACTGAATGTTGTTGACCATGGCATTTTAAACACAACGTTTCGCTGTCAAGGCATAATTCTTTCCATCTTTGGGAACCCAAGGTAAATATCTGTGTCATAAGTTAACCACTACCTACTATTTCTGGGAGCAAGGAACGAGAGACAATACTCCATTTTCGAATTCAAAGCGAAAATTCGCCACTTTGTTTGACAACAGATTCTCTTGCACCAATACCTTACCAAAAAAAGAAAGCACAAGAAAATGTCGTTATTACAATAGACTTGAAAATTTACATTTTCGCCGAGTTGAGACTAACCATGTATTCCCAATAGACCTCTGAAGCTCATGTACCGTATACGCAATGCATTGTATGTATGTTTGGGACAGAACATGGCAGATTTCTTTTGTTTTCTATATAAACTGATCCCAAAATGCATTGGAAATAAAGTAGTGACATTAAAGATTCAGAAGTCTCTTAAGGGCTAAGGCTTAAGCACTTTTAAAAGCCTTCTGGGAAATTCGAAAATGGAGTATTACAAAGGCATTACAACCTTGGGTTACCTAGGATGGATTCTTGGCATCGATACGAGAATGTGATGATTTTTTTTTGCAATGATCTCTAATGAAGATATTTTCAATCCATGTAGATGGCTCAGGCAAGTACTGACAAATATAGCGATGACCAATTGAACTATTTTCGAGTTTGTCACGTGACAGCTACCGTCATTCCAGTTGGTCTTCGTACTGTGTTTAAACAACAATGGAATGCTCGCTATAAGACATCTCATGGTGAATGGAACGACACTGCAAAAAATGGAGTTGATTTCGATAGTTTAACGTCGCCAAAAGAAAGAATAACGAAGGCTAGAGAACTTTCCATTATCAAAAATGGGAAAAGCTTTGAATGGGACTGCACATGTTTGTTTTACGGGATACTTTACTCCAATTGTATAGGAAGAAACACGCTTGACCCTAAAGTAAAGAAGGCTGTAGATGATCTGCGACAGTATCGTAACAAGTATGCCCACTGTCATCAAAGCAAAGTAACTGATGCAGATTTCCAGGCTTCAATACGAGATGTAATTAACGCTTTCGATGATTTAAAACTGGATACAAATGCCGTTAAAAAACTTAAATCGCAAACAAGTTTTCAAACGAATGAGCTCCAAAGAATTCAAGATCAACTGGATAAGGAGAAGAAACGCAACCAGGAGCCACAGACATTTTGTGAATTTCCACCCAAACCATCGCATGAAACCATTGCACGTTCGAACGAAGTAGATAAAATAATTAAAGAGATGAAAACATTACAAAGCCGTCATCCAAACGAGGTGACACATGTCTACCTGTCAGGGAATCCAGGCTGTGGAAAAAGTGAAACCGCAAGACAAATTGGCGAAAAGGTGTTTCATGAATCAGCGGGAGCTTCGTCGAAAACATTTGTTTTCACACTAAATGCGTCCAGCGTAGACACACTACTGAGATCGTACATTAACTTTTCTCGTTTTCTCCGAATAGACGAAGACTCCATCCAAAGCACTGTATCATCGAAAACAATTTCACGACCTGAGGATAAAATTCTGCATTTCATTGGACTCGTTAATCCTAAATTAGCAATGTTCTCCTCGTGGCTAATGATCGTCGATAACGTGGTCGATCTTAAGAAGATATCAACATTTTTCCCTCGCCTAGGACAAAGTGTAACGGGAAAAGGACAATTATTGGTGACTACACAAGACAGTCAAGCGATTCCTCCTGCAAGTTCTAAAGTCTACCACAAATCTCTAAGTAAAGGAATGGAGCCTGAAGATGCTGTAAATGCTCTATGTGCAATCTCACAACACGATGAAGATAAAGACGTGGCGCTTGAAATTGCAAAAGCACTTGATTTTCAACCACTAGCTCTTGCCTGTATTGCTGTCTACATGAAGCTAGTCAATCAACATGGCACCGCTGTAACTTGGCCTAACTGCCTTACAAAGATCAAAGAAGGAAAACACGAAAAAACAGAAAAACCGTACCTCGATACCAACGTTCAAGTCTATTCACAATCGATGGCAACAGCTGTGAAGATGGCTTTAGATAGGGTGGCCGAGGAAGATAATGTCATGATGCTTGCATTTCAGATATTGTCAGTACTTGCCTTGGATCCAATACCGATTAAGTACGTTGCTCAATATGTTGTCCTGTGTATGCCAGAGGAAGACGAAGACCTTATACAAGCTCACATTGCACGCTCTTCTCTCGTTCTCATCTCTGATGATGGCCAAAATGTCCGTGTTCATCAAATTGTATATGCTGCATTACAAGAAAACGTAAGATATACAGTTGAAGGAGATTGTCATAGTTTGGCAAATGTGATTCTATCGTTTTCCGAGCTAACTATTAAAGATGATGAAGAGCCGGATTATGACTTCATAACATGTACCAAGTCTCTTACTCCACATTTTCTAACTTTGCAGACAATCGTATATTCAAGCTTGTTTGTAGGCATGAATAAAGAAAGAACACTTGAGGTAGCAAAATGTATTTCGTGCTCAATTGGTAAGATATGTTACATAAATGGTAAGCTAGAATCAGCAAGAAAATATCTTGAAATGTCTATCACAATGAAAGAAAACTTTTGTACTGGCATCGATCTTTTGACAGAACGAAATGCACTTGGAGAAATTCTTTATGATCTTCAAGAATTCACGAAGGCAAAATATTGCTTCGAACAAGCACTAGGTGGTGATTATGATGCTAATCTTAACATCAGCAAAACAAGTGGTTTGTACCTACGCGCACTGACTAATCTCGGGTTGACACTTTCCTGTGACGAACTCGGAGAGAAGCAGGAAGCCGAACGATGTGTAAAGAAAGCACTTCCATTCATCGAAAAGATAACTCCAGATTTTCCATTTGGTGGTCGAATATTCAACAATATTGCAATGGTGTACTATCATCATATGATCTATGCAGAAGCAAAAACATTTATGGAAAAATCGGTTGCTTGTGACAAGAAAAAATATGGCGACAATCATCCTTTTCTATCTAAGAAATACAACAACCTTGCAATAGTACTTAACTCAATGCAAGAACATAATATGGCTAAACAATACTTGCAAAAGGCAATTTTCATCTCAAAGCACTCTCTTGATGAAAACCATCCCTACATATCAATTTACTACGGCAATCTTGCCAGACCGCTAACATCTCTCAACCAGCACGAAGAAGCCAAGAAATGCTTGGAAAGAGCACTCGATATTGACGAACGTGTGTATGATGACAACCATCCAACATTAGCCAGAGATTTAAACAACCTCGCTATGGTCTTAAAAGATCTCAGACAGTATGAGGAAGCCAAGAAATGC